GAGAGAGAGAGAGAGAGAGAGAGAGAGAGAGAGAGAGAGAGAGAGAGCGCCTTATTTTAGATCAGCCTTTAGTAGGTTTAAGACTTAGGAAGCTTTTGTACTTTGTCTCTTGGACAGATGGCCTATCTTTCTACAGTAGCTCTGTTGGGAATTAGGTAATTACCATAGAAGCTTTCACAATAAAAAAAATGGTATAATGAGCTAGAGATTTTTTTTGGGGGGTGGAGGGTGACAGTGAGGAATTTCATTAGGATTTATCAGAAAATTACTTATTTGAAATATTTACACATATGCACAAAGAAATAGTTAACAAAAAAAATTAGGTACCAAAATGACATGTTTAACTTTGGACAGCAACCTTTATGGAACAAAGTTAAGCATATCATTTTGCTTTTTGGGTGTAAGTATTTCAAATCACTACAAGACTGACATGGTTCACAAATAAATGTATTCCGTTACTTTTGTGGCAGTGGAAAACATGTTGGATGGGGAACTAACCCAAGGACCTAGCCCAAAGACCTAACTCTCCATCCAATATTGTCCACTGCCACAAAAGTAACTGAGTACATTTATTTGTAAACCATGTCAGCTTTGTGGTGATTTCATTCCAAATGGCATGTACACTGGAGGATTTGGCATACATTTTCTTCATGGCCCCAATATCTTAGGCAGTGCCAGCTGACTTTCATTCTCTAGAGGCAAGCAATGAATATTGTCTTTTCTTTTCAAACAAAATACTCAATCACTAAACTGACTTGTGAAGTTGTTTAAAATAGGATGCAAGTGAGATCAAATTTGCAGGCCCTCTTCCTATATTTCAGCTTTACACAAAGGAAAACTGCTTCCCTGAATCCCTAACTGAAGCTGGCTCTCGCAGAAGTGAGTGTTACTGTTCAAAAGGGAAGGCCAGAGATGCTGTGGATGATCAGAGCCATCACTATTACTGAGAAACAAACATATAAAAAATCCCACACAAAACAGTAAGGTAGTAATGTCACTTTGATAGACAAACAGCGGTGCTACTTTTTTTAAGTAACTGCTTCGAGCCCAAATCAGGCAATTCCCAGTAGCAATGCTTGATCAATCAGTTGCTAATAAACCTGCATTTTTGTGTTCATGAATGTGAGAAATAAGGGTTCAGTTCTAATGATTCAGTCAAAGGTAAATTGTGTCTATTTGCTCTTTTCATGTTCCACTGGGGCCTTGTGTTTTATCTCATAAATAAAGTTAACCAGTTTTTGTCTGGGACTGTCAAGCGTCTTAACAGTCAAAAGAAATTGCTACAGAAAGTGTGCACTCTTTCTCCTACTCCTTAGCAGAGGGATAATAGCCATTTAACCTCTTATTTAAAATGCTACAATCTCAGGCATGACTTATAAAAAGTAATTTCTTATGACTAATGATGCTCTCAATTACCTTTTCCTATTAATTAAATGCCTGTTTCTTTCAAGTCCGCTTTGTAGTAGTGGTCTTGTCTAAGACCTGAGTTGTTAAATGCAAGGATTTCCTGCTCCAAGGTTTTATATGAACATCAAAATGAATAGCACATATTTCTATAGCACTTTGAGGTATACAAAATATTTTCTTCACAATGTCCCTATGGCAATGAAAGAACTAAACCTGAGAAGTCATGTGACTTGCCAAGGTCACATACCTCAGGTATAATTTTGCTCTTTACACCATCTGAAAATTAGCCAGACTGGCCTATTTGATATTCCTTATGAACCTCATTCCATGTCCTCTACCTGGTTTTACACAGGCTGTCCCCTGAGCTTAGAATGCTCTCCTTTTCCATCTGTCCCTCCCAAGACATCATCCCAGACTCTTTTCAGCTTTCTGAGCTCAACTTCTTCAGGAGAGAAAATCTTGCTTCCTCCAATCTCTTCACATTAGTCCGTATCTGACTCTTCCCTGTCCTTCCATTGTTCCCTCTTCAATGCCTATTCTGTTGTCAAAAATTGCCTTTATTATTAGGTGGATGTTCTCCCTTTGGAAATCACTTTGTATATATTTTGCATTTATTTACATAAGTATGTTTATTTATATGAACATATTGATAAAATGTAAGCTTCTTGAGGGAAGGGATAGCTTTATTTTGCCTTCTTAACTCCACAGTATAACTCAGCACCTGGAACCTAAAAGGTGCTTTATAAATACATGGTGAATTGAATCAAAAGATAAACCTAAATGCTACCACTTCATCTGCATGAGGACTTTCCTATTTTCCCCATTTATTAAGGCTCTCTCCCCCAAACTATTTCAATCAGTCAAATCAGCAA